GTAATCTCTGTCCTGCCTTTTTATTTTTCACTCTATTCGGTCCTGCCTTTTTTATCAGTTTATCCTGACTTGTTTTACATAAATTGTCATCCTGCGCTTTTTTTTTTTGCCAAGTTGCTCATCCTGCCTTTTTTTTTACTCAAAAACTCCTGTCCTGCCTTTTTTCAAATTTCATCCTAGCACCCCCCCCCCCCCCAAAAAAAAAATCAAATGGTAGCTCCCTTACATGGTCCATAGGGGGGCTGTTGCTATCAATCTATCCATCGTTTTCTAGTGTCCGTCAAGAAGTCTCGCCTTCCGTCAATCTTATTGTTAAATTATCACTGTTCTGCATCTATAAGAAATATTTGCCACCGAAATTTTAGTACACAATATAAAATGAATGTCTTTCCATGGTGCATGACTTCAGTTTATTTACTTGTTTCTTTTTATAGATGAATATTTGTGTTTTTTACTTATGTGACCAGGTTATGCACTTTTTGATTTTCATCTAATGAATCGCATATATAATATGAACTATGTGATAGGGGAATTAAATATTGAAAATTCACTTCATAACATACAATTTTCTCCAACGATGCAAAATAAAGAGAAAATTCCGGACAAATCATTGGTCTTTTTATGTTCGTTAAAATTTCAACCGAAGACAACGAAATGGACTTTCCTTCACTTTTTCTGATAATCGCTTTGCATAAATGTCATTTCAAAACAATGTTATATTGTTGTGTCTGCCAGATGCTCTCCGAAAGATCTTTCCTGTTAGCAAATATAATCCGGATTTCTGAATTGATATGAAACTATCTATTCTAGGAGTGATTTGAATAACATTGATAAATATTGCGGTGCTAAACAATTCCACATAACTGTAAGTGTTGCATATAATCTAAATCCCTTTACATTCATTACACAAGTATTCCTCATTCTAAACCAAAAAACACTTTGAAATGTTAGTCCAATTTTGTTTCATAAATGTTTCATAAAAGCAATGGCCAAATCAGATATAGATATACATTTTTTTAAGAAAGGTACAAACAATACATCGTAAAATTCTGCCTGATTCTAACAAATAGTTGTGGGAAACGGAATCTTCAGGATGCTCGAGTGCTTGATAGATAAGATATTTGTTGCGTTTTGCGGGCATGGTTTTTAAACAGTGAGACGGTATTATCATTGTAACCAATCTCTTCTAACTAACTTTTTCCTTATTTCGTATGAAAAAAAATCGTAACAGGACTTCTTATTATTAGAGATCGTAGCAGTACCTGTGTGTGGAGTCTTTTTGTCTTAGTCGAAATGAAATTACATTGCTTGTATTACATATCACTGTTTTCTTGCAATCAATGAACTTCTACTTTAAAACAATTTCAACAAGTTGAACGTCGGTAGGTACCTTTCTTTGGTTTTGGCTAAAAATTGTTAAATATAAAAAAAAAGAAGATATGTTATGATTGCCAATGAGACAAATCTCAACCAGAGACTAAATAACATAGAAGTTAACAACTATAGGTCGCTGTATGGGCTTCAACAATGAGTAAAACCCGTATCGCATAGTCAGCTATAAAAGGCCCCGAAATGACAAATGTAAAACAATTCAAACGAGAAAAATAACGGCCTGATTTGTGTACAAAACAATGAACGAAAAACAAATATGATATACAGCAACAAACGACAACCACTTACAGGCTCCTCACTTGAGACAGGCACATACAGAATATGTCGCCGCCTTTAATTTTCCTTAATTGGTACAAAGCTTCATACAGTGGCTCCTCTTGATAAAAAGAAAGATTCTACAAATAAGGAAGCGATGAATAAACGGTTTCCAATGGGAAATTAAGGTAATATCTTCGACGGTCTAACGCTGACACTATCATGATTTGAATAACCGTTATGGAATATCTGTCTCAAAGATGACTACGGACATACTTCATTTGTGGTAACCGGAACCCCTTGTCTCCTTTCCTCTTTTATAACATCGACGAATGTGACCGTTGCCAGATTTTGTCTTGTCATGAAAAACACCACGAGTCAACTAGAGGAGCAGGAGCTGCTTACATTTCCATCCGGGCACCTGAGTTTACCTCTAGTTTATATGTTGTTTTGTATTTTGTAAATTTGCTTGTCTTTCTTTCAGAAAATACCAAGGAACAATAAAAAACGAAAGTCGGAGAAGATACACAAGATAGCGGATGTTTCATTGTCTTTGATATCTTTTTTACATTATTTAAATTCACATATCTTTCTCATGTAATTTATAAGTTTCCACATGTTAGAACATTACAACAGTATCGCATCAGCCAGAAGAAACAGCTGCAAGACTCATTTGAATTATTCTTCGTTGATACCTAATTTCTGTTAATCCATAATCCATCGTTCTTGAATAAACATAGGAAGGTCGTTAACAACTGCGTGCTAACTCTTCTGCTGTAGGCTTCAAGATGCAAACGAATTATTCAATTGTAAACAAATTAAGAATTCTAGCTAAAATTATTTCATCTAGAGAAAACAACATTATGAGATTTACTGATGTTTCAACCTGTAATTTACGTTTGTGAAGACAGACAAGACGGAAACTAAAGCGTTTTATATACTATTAGAATACATTTATGTACGTTGATGAAATTGGTGGAACTTTGATCTTGATAAGAAGCTATAGAAGGACTACAGAATAGAATTTATGATTTTAATTAATGGGTAGGTATGTTCACCACATATCGTTCAAAAGTAGTGCTTCTATTCAACTAAACTTCGTAGATAACTCTTGAATTCTTAACCAACCTTTACTTATGTTCATTTTAACTTCAAACATTACACAAATTCCACGATTTTCCTAAATGCTTATGTAATATTATGCTTGAAAGAATTTTTTTCAATACAATTTAGTGTTCTTTAATACATACAATTCTGTATACTTTCCAAAGTCGTATGATTGCTGCTGAGGTTTAAATAAATCAAACAGAAAAGGATGCAGCTAAATATCAAACATCATGATAGTTTGGTGAAACTTATTTGAAATACTTTACATGTACACATTGAAACTTAAGGTGAAGGTTAGTTATGAAAACCGAAATGGAGGGTTACAGCATCCAAATTGACCAAACTAAAAACCTTTCAATTCAATGTAAATGGTTTAATTTAACTTTTTTTCATTTGTTTTTGCAATATTTTGGCGTTTAAGTAGCTCTTTTTTTCCAAAAAATGGGGATCCAATCCAATACAGATACAACTATAACAGTATGGAAAACGAACGGTTTACGGTAAAGCCGTAAAAAGATAAGGAAACACAGCAAGCAATAAACTAAGACAAAATCTTTCGAACATGCAGATTTAAATATTCTAATCTCATTTATTGCTCGCATGATACTTATCTTCTCGTTAAGCATGCAGTAATCCATAAAAATATAGATAAAATTGTACATTCTCAAGTTTTAAACTGCAACAAATTAGTAACTAAATTTCTTATTTATTACAAAATATCAAAAATTGAACGCTTTGGTATGAATAAAGGGAGATTTGGTGTTCGCTTTATTGTTTTCTTTCACGTTTGAAGTGGAAACAATCAAGTCTCTCCATATTTACTCTCCAAATATTGATGTTACACACCCATTTACTATTATATTATCACAAAAGTGTGATTTTAAAACAAAGGTAGTTAACTTTGATAAAATATGTGCAATAAAAGAACTTTAAAAAAAAGTTTCAATGAATATAACTTAGACACTGATATAAAAAAAATTTCGAGACTCAAAGTCAAAAACATAATCCACAAAAAGATATCCCCCAAGGTTCTGTAGACGTTAGGTTTGGAAGTATTTGTGATATTGTTTTTAATGTGTTAATGTTTATTCGTCGTGATAACTGAAGACTGTATAAAGGTTGTATCCATAAAGTTATATACGCGATGAAATGTCATTTATTGTCAATAGACAAGCGAGTTCTTTATCGCGTACTTTTGTACTGATTTTAAGAACCTTCCAAAACTTAGATTCTTCAGAGCAACACTTTCATGTAGTATGCGACTTTTCTAGAATGGAACAGATTCCTTGTACAAATGCAACTCTGACTTCTTTTATTCCTTAAAAGAATTAATCCAACAACAATCCGCTCCATTAACATTGTTATGATTAAAATAAGAAGATTGCCAAGGAGACGAACTAACCACAAAGAGCAACTGACGCGGAGGTAATCAACTATTATTGGTTACCGTGTAGCCTTCAACAATGAACAGAACACACACCGTATAGTAAGCTGTTAAAGGGTCATATACATGATAAAATGTTACAATTCAAACGAGAAAACAATAGGCCTGATGTGTGTATAACCCAATATTATAAAAATAAGAAGATGTGGCATGATTGCCAATGAGACAACTATCCAAATGAAATGGATGTAAGCAATTATAGGCTACCGTACGGCCTTCAACAATGAGAAAACCCATACCGTATAGTCGGCTATAATATTGTTTGCTTATGTGTTTCCTTTAATTTTAATGCTGTTTCATTGTTGTCCTTTTCAGCTGGTATATGTTATTGTTTCTTTCTTTCTTTTGCCAAATGATTTTTTGGTGTTTGTTCTTTTTATATGTCCTTTTTTCTTTTTCTTTCTCGTATTCATTCTGTTTTGCTATTGTTTTGTTTTTTGTTTTTTGTTAAAGGAACTTTATCGTTTTTGTGTACTGTCTTCATGATCCTACTGATAGTTTTGTTTAATGCATTTGTACTTGGAAGAGAGGTAAAAGATACCAAACGGACAATCAAACTCATAAGCGGAAAAAAAACTGACAATGGCATTGCAAAAAAAAAGAGACCAAAATACAAACAACAGTATACAAAACACAACATAGAAAACTAGAGACTGAACAACACGAATCACGCCAAAAACCGGGTGTTATCTCAGGTGTAGTGACGCGTATTGGAGGCATACAATCAACAAAGAGGATAAAATACCATCCATATACATGTAGTGCCAATCGAAATATTTAACGGATAAAATAGATACAAATATAACAAAATAGATATATTTTATTTTTTCTATATTTTTTAACTTCATGAGACAATTTTACAACAAAAACATATCACATGTTTCAGAGGTATATAATATACCTACATACTAATATATAACAGCACATTTGATAATGAAATATTTTGATTTTAAGTGGGAAATGCTGAGAGTTTGTTTGGCCCTGTTAACCTTTGAACATAAAATTTACCATCTATGAAAAATAAATGAATACAACTTATGAAATAAAAGTCTAGATCGTTATACAAAATTATCAAAATTCATGTGACAATTATATTTTTATGTATACCTATTTTCTATGTGAATATAAGAAATATGAAATAATTTTTGTTTTCTATTGCTGTTTATGACGTTGATGAATAGATATGTTTACGAATTTAAGATTGCGATGTTATCATTAATACATTTTCTTTTCTAACTCTTAACATGTGTGTATTGTATGTATTTCAAATTGATTATTGTTTAAAATGGCACCAATATTTTTAAATTTCCGTGTCACATATGAACAAAATTTAGAATTTCTGAAATCTTCTTTTTATTTCTGCGAAATTAAGGAGAAAAGAATGAATTTTGAAGGCAAGATAAAGGCAATGTGCTGAAACATATTAAACATAAATTAACATAAATATTAGCATTTTTAGTAATGATCACCAGTGTCACAAAAGTGATCGAAATCGACAGTATCGACGTGACGTAGAAATAACCAATTTTACATTGATATCATGTAAAAAATTAAAAAAAAATAGCTGTTGTAGTATAAAGATATCTGTAATGAACAGGCGGGTCTAGGTTTTTTTTTAAGGGGGTGTAATTCCCCAAAATGGAATATATACACCCTAGGGTAAAATTTTGGGGACGTTTTATGCTAAAAAAATGTTATATTTCCAATCAAAGGGGGAAGGGGGATGGGTGTTTGAACGTCCTATACGTCCCATTAATCCACCACTGATAAAAGAACATGAGAATGGTTATTGCAGATTCAAAACAACAAATTGTGACACTGGTAATATCTGTGAAACCACAGACAATAGCACTTACAGTGATAGGTTGTCGATAACACGTGAGTGGTTTCACGAGGTAGACCGGAAACCACTTCTGTGCTACCGACGATAATAATGATTAAGTTGAAGACCAACCTACAGTCGCACATAATACATTTACAATAAGGCACATGTATTTAATATCTACAGTATTAACATTTTGAACATAGTCAAAACACATTTGCATACTGTTGAGGCACATGTGCTTAAGTAATATCGTATATCAATTACAGTATTATAATTTACGAATAGTGTACAAAAGTCGTACAATTTTCATTCATTTTACTTTTCCTGTATATCGTACTTGTACACAGAACAATCACAGCCTTTTAGTAGTCTAACTGTAAATAATAAGAAATTGATTAACCTGAGATTTCTCAAAAAGAAGACATTTGATCAATGTTCCTTCCATATTCATACTTGTCATACTCGGAGCTCCTCTTCGTGTTTCGATTGCATACATGTAAATACTTTTACAAGCACTTTGTGCGGGAAATGACTTTATGACTTGTGATACATAATGCTTGGATTTCATTTTACTGTAATATCATTCTGGTGAATTTTGCAGTATTCTTACAACCGATGATTTTGATTCTTTCATTTACAATAATGTTCCTCGACTTCGCGCACACACTCCTGACATGATACGTAACAGCACCAATGAAACTTACAGTAACATCTTTCTACAATTCTCTTCTTACGGGACTCGTATCCTCGCCCACAGCACAACAGATCACAACCGTCAATTGCTTTAGAGTTTTTATTACATATTCTGCCTTTTGTTCCCAAAGAACCTGACTTTGGATCTGGTTCACAAAAATCGGGAGAGGCCACTAAATAAACTAAGTCTGAACTTGTATGTGCCTTGAATTCTGGATTGACAGGCACAAGTCTTGGTAAAGTGTTTGTATAAACTAATTTTACTTCTGTTGCTCCGTCAAATTTTTCTTTTATTTTGGATCCAACTTCTCTAAAAGTTGGCATTGCTCGCCAACAAGTTCGTAATTCGCACGATCCTGACACACCATGGCACTTGCATTCTATTCTCATATTATTTTCAATACTCTGGAAATAAACAAGAAACATATTAAAACCATTTAAAATCTTTAAAAAAAAAGTATCACTTCAAGAACAATCAAGTTTTTAAGAAATTATAAAAATGTAAAATCGAAAGCATGTACACTGTCGTGTAATGATCTGTTTCAATCTCGTCAGCAAACATTATGTATGCATTAATGCGCGTGATTTTCCCGATGACAGCACTATAGTTTTGCGGATGGCATGACAGGAATTTCTTTTTTATATTTCTTTGTGTTTTGTATAGGTCAAATATACAACCATGTTTTAGCACTTTTTCCAGACATGGAAGTGAAATACTCCGGAAGTCATTAATTCTGTTGTTTCGTATAATTTATGCTTGATTTGATAAACATTTCGGTTTGAAATGTTTATTACAACAAAACACGATATCAAACCTTCTTTGATAAATTCTCGACATATTACTGACGAAACATTTTTCATCTCATATATTTTTTTACTTTTTACATATAGTTTATTTACAGATACTGACAGACATGATATAACCTTGAAGCTCTTTTGCACCTTGGATTTTGGCTACCGGTGATAAATTTTACCATATGTCATATTGATAATTTATAATAAATATGTATAAGTTAATATATAAATAATATGTAAAGTTTTGACCTCAGTTTGTTATTTATGTGTATAATAATTTATCCAAAGAAAAAATATATATAAATACATTTTTATATAGTGCTGAGAGATTTGCCATGATAGTAGAAAGTCATTACTAAATATTAAGTTTCTCAGTGCTGAGACAAGTGTAATTCTAAATCAAAGATTGAAAAGCTACAATGTTGCAGATTTGCGGCTTTTCCTTTAGACCGCCCTTTCCCGCTGAATCTGACTTTCATGAACACGAATGTCTATAAATAGTACTAAGTGTAGACAGAAAAGCCAAATGGGCTAATTGTACACTTAAAAATATCATCGGTCCACCTCTTCCCCATACTAAGAGCAGCAAACAATAGCCTCGGTGAAATAATTACACTTCTACGTAAGAAACAAGTGCATGTTACCCCTCAGACTGCTGCTCTCCAAACGAAGTGCAACAGCGTGCTTTGTAACAGAATATGAAGATAAATGTACAAAATAAACGATCGGATTGCATTTTGTTTATATTGGAATAAAACGTAAATCAGGTTCAACCTTTGAAGATTTAAAATCTAATCAATTAAAAGTCGAAGCCAGTTGGCTTGTTTGGTACAATATTTTGGAAATATTAAAAGAGTGAAAATAATACAGTTAAACGTAAATACGTCCTATGTAAAATAAAATAAAATTGTTTAACGTGTTAATCACGGTCCGGTTCATTTATTGAATACAACATGTTGCAATAAGAGCTTAAGAAAATGCGAAAAGATTCTGGCGTTGTTCTCTTTGTGTATAGTAAGAGATACCGACTCTATTAATTTCTCTTTCAATACAGCTTATACTTTATCATTGTATAAATAAACTTTTTTCAATTTCTCGTCAAGTGCACCCAGAATTGTATTATTAATTAAATATAAGGCAAGTTTGGATTGACAATCAAGAAATGGTGCCAAAAATATAGAATTATACGTATAAATATTTGAATTTGTATATCTCCTGAGAAACACTTCTTATTGTTGATAACACAGACGGCGTTCAGCTATGATGATTACGATTTAATGATGATTGGAAGAACAGACTTCACTGCGAATCGATGCCAACTTGATGTACCCAGAGTTGAAAAGGGTCCTTAATCCAGAAAAGAGCGGGGATAATCTCGCTAATCCTGATCGGCTTCTTCGTCTGCCTACCTTTTTACTCTGTATCAAATCAACCCTTTGCATCTTTTTGATGTTAGATGTACACGGTTAAAACTTGAATAAAAAATCAAACCAAGGAGGTTCTATTTAGTGAGGTGATATTCAAAAATGTATTAAGTGACAATTTCAACAAAGCGTATGTAATCATTGAAAATAGGACGAGTCGGTTGTCTAAAGGACTAACATACCGTGCACCAGGCATTCAAGGAGTGTACTTTTTAATTTTCTCTTAACATTCGGCCAACAATATTTTATATCTTAACTTTCACTATCCGAGTTCTCAATTACGTACTAAATGTACTAGTATTCTTCATTATAGAATAACATTACAATATCAATGAGTTTAATTTTTGATCGAGAGTGACAATGCAACAAAAAATGAAAACAATAATAATGAGAATTTTAAAAAATCAAAAACTTTCCAAACCAAGACCTTGTTTCAAAAGTAATTATTAATAATTTTGCCATTCAAAATTTTTAAAATACACATGTCAAAATGCTTTATAATAACCCGATGCATGTCATATTAATAGCTTTACGACAAGTATAACCCACTGATCGCCTATCAATTTATCTTTGCCATAACTGTTAACTTTGATTTCCTTACTGCAGTGATTGGCATCTAAGTGTGAATCAAAGGTCACTTGAAAAGGAAGTCAAAAATTTATTTAATCCAAAACAATTTGTAACATTGTTGTGTTGACCGACTGATATAATTCGTCACATACTTTGTAAAACTGATTTATAGATCTTCATATTGAAATTCATGGTATTATGTTACCCCTTTTTTATTCAACGTCCGATCGGACCGAATTTGGAGTATTTGTTGGATTGCTGTCTCATTGACGTATACCCACATATGTTCTGTCTCTTTCATCAGGTTTTAAAGTGTATGTTTTGCGTGTCAGTGTTTGTGTTTACAATCGATGAAGACGTTTCTCTGTGTCATAATTACTATTCCTGACACATTTTTGGAATTTACATTTCAACACATATTGAGCAATGTTTATAAATATTTCACAACTTACAAACATAAAACTGACCCTTACCACGTGACCCTGATATCAAACAAGATGTGAACGTAATAACTAAGACTGCTATCATAACATCTTAAAATTGTATAATTATCTTTCATAACTATGTCTCCTATTTGCTTTAGTCTGTTGTTTTTCAAGAACTTGATTTGATTGGTGTTTGCTTAAAGTCCAGATCGAGGCAAACATTTCATCAATTATTAAGATTAAGATTTTTTGTACTGAGAACTCCTCGAAGAATATTTATATTCATTGTTAAGGACGAGTCAGAGTTTAATCTGATTGATGTTTGCTTAAATTCCAGTGGCAAATATTTCATCCATATTTAAGACAATCATGCAGGAATTTAAGTTTTTTGAACTTGCCGTGGGAACTTCTCAAAGAATATTTATAGGCATAGTAAAGGACGTGTCATTAACAAAAGACATTATCAACCTTGGCAAGGCGTTGTTATTTGGACAAAATTGCATTTTTATCATGATGTTAAATCCCCCTGTCAACAAATCAGAATAGACATACATGAAATGATGAATGGAATAAAACTGAAACGTATCTTCTTGTATCTAGGCAATTCTTGATAATTATAATATAAAAAGAAGTGTATCTATGAGATACTATATAGTATGTTTGTAGAACGGATATTTATGATCGAAAATGGAAGTCGTAAATCCTTTTACTGAATGGACCTCGATAATCCGTCCATATTCAAGAAAATGAGTGTCGAATCATTTACGATGTAATTATTGCGTGTATATACAATCGGGTGCGAGGGAACAGTCTTAAACTAGATAATAACCAGTCTGTTGGTACAACTATGTGACATAAATCTTTAGATTAGTCTAATAAGGAAAACATACATCTAACATGTTCGACGAACTTAGAGATATACTTTTATTTGAATATTTTAGTAAATGTGTAAGACACTTATGGATCAATGTTAATCGTTTAAAATTCCTTTACTTTACTTAACTGATTACGTATTTGAGCGCATGAACAGGTTATTGTGTCCAAAACGTCGAACAGTTTCACGAAGCATGACTCGACAGCCTAAAGAAGTCTTACATCGAAAATTAAGCATTCCAAAAATAAACTTCATTTGTTTAATTCTTATAAAGCAGTTAAATTATATGAACAGATGCATTTTTAATGGAATGGGAGAGATGAAAGGATAGTAAAGTCGTAATTTTAAAAATATGTGTTTCGTATATAAACATTCTACTATTTCTAATCAACCTAGTAATTCAAAAAGCTCTTGCATTAAAATTTAAAGAGAGTATAGACCTTAACTTTTGACTTTACTAAAAAATAAAATTTCAATCCTTGAAAATAAAATTCAACATTAAAAATTGAATTTTTAGAATTTTAAAATTTGTTTTGATATTAAATTGCCCGTAAAAGCAAGTTAATCAGAAAAAGTAATCTTTTATGTGCTTCATTACGCACAAAAATATCAGTTTTATACGTTTTGTAAGTTTGAAGTAATGTAACTTGAAATGGAGTTTATATAAATTACATTTTGATCCATTGAGAGTAATCATCTAGCGTTGTACATTAGGAACAAAACTATCATTCACTGCCACCAAAATATTTTCTTGCTCGAAACATGCACGGGGGGACATGTAAACAAGTACTTTGTCCCTATTACCAAGATATAAAATAGTCAAATTCATCCCATCAAATTGGCATGTTCTGTCATTTATGTATACACGTACCACGATCATAAAGATTTAATTATAAGCTCCAACATAACATTTGGAAGGTCTTGTACGGCATCAATGTATTGAATAAAACATATAATGTTTAACAGAAACCCTTTCGAAGCACATTTCGTTCATCCCTGGTTCTTGGTACTTTTGGGTATATTTGTTTTTGGGGTTGCTCAAATTTGGTCGCCAATGTTGTATCATACGCATAGCAGAAGGGGTTTGAGTTTATATCAAATATTACAGATTCTGCGGCTGGTAACTAGTCAAATTTATATGTGCATAATTACATTTACATGTATTTGGCCAATAGGAAGAAGACTAAAATGTTCCTATGAAAGCGCATCACATCTTATAATGTAAAAAGATGAAGCTTGGTTTCGTGATACATCAAGTAGCTACAGTATAGATTTTCTCAGATCTGACGGTCAGACGTACGAACACATAAATGATAAAAAAGGTGGAAACTAGAAACATATCCCTAATCATTTGGAAAGAGGGTAAAATATTTTCAATTATACATATACATTTAATGTACTTTATTCATATATGTAGCAAGTAGATTAGATCATTCTTGTTTTAAAAAACTTTTCTATTATATAAGTTTGAAATGCATTTAAATGGAAAGGAATAGTATGTGTAGTATGGAAAGTTGTCTGATATAGACATCAGCCTGATATTTGTGGGTTTTAGGTGTAAAGTCCTTACATGTAAATAAAAATCGACAACAATACGCCATGACATAAAATATATCGACTGTATTGTATCCTCTAACATTAGTGGTAAGATTTATGTTAGATTTCGTATTATTATTCCACCTGGGAAACATCCCAAATTTGATTGAAACGGAAAATGATGGGGGTAATGTGTCCAGGTATCTAATAAATCATTCGCCCAGTCTCATCTTAATAAAGGCTTGGTGGTATTAAACTTTAATCATATTGTATTAAGAAATCGACATGAGGCCATTAAATTGTGCTTCACTTGTTCAAATTCAATGCCTGAATTGAAATTCCTTCATATTACACTTTTACATTTTAACCTCGTTTTTGTGGTTCAGAAAAGTGTTTTCATCAAAGAAAGTCGTACAGGTTGCACAAATCTTGTTATAAGTAATCATGTTTATTTGGGATGTGCAGATGTTTGCAAAAGTTCAATATATATTTAATACTATGTTAAAAAGTATTATGTTAACCTTATGTATATTTCATTTGTGACAGACCATAGATTTGCTTGTATACCTTGATAATCCGGAAATTTTCATCATATTCACAGAGCTGATATATATTTAAAACATTCTAATGAATATGTTTTATGTTGGACTGCTAGTTTTATTTGATTCATATATTTGATATAAACTCACCTTTCTTCCTGCTTGATTATTATGAATGTTCATTAATTGTCTTCCTATGTTTTTATTGTTTTTTCTTTTGCGCTTTTCTCTAGCGTCCACAAATGTTTTTGCAAATGCTATTCCAAAAGCAATATTGTCTGAACACCCTGACCATTCAAATCCCTGGTCACTAGGTCCACTAACTGTTCTATCACAACCACATTGTGTTAAGCGGCCACTACTACAAGCCCTAGTAACGGCATGAGCTACACCAGCAGACGACAGCGCGTGCACAAACGACGCTTCTCTTGTGCCTGAAAATGTCAAGATGAATATGAATAAAATATATGAGACAGTAACTCAATAACATAATAATGTCAAAAAGGATAGTATGCATAACAAATAAACTACTGTTATAATGAAAAATGAGGAGCTTAACAGATTTATGCTTATAGATTTCTTTGAAGCCAACCAACCTTGCTGCAGGACCAGAGCATAACTCATTATGAAGCAAGATGTCTCTTAAGTTTACAACTGTATAGTTTGGTCAAAAAGTTTACTTTTGAACGAATTTTTAAAGTATTTTAATATGTTAAAGGATTATTAGTCCACCTTAGCCAAGAGGCGAGATGAAATACAATATATATCTTATATAAAATGCATTTATTATCGAAGTAGACTCAAATCTATTCGTCGCTCTTGCTTGTGGCTAAAAAACAGTTATATCGTGTTTCCTGAATAACATAGATTGGTTTTAAGCACGATTAATGTAAAATTTTAAGTATCTTATGCTTAATGTAAGGTGTTCCTATTTGCAAATTCACGAATTTGTGAATATATCTGTCTTTTCATGACGAATGTATCATCCAAAATCGAAATACTGTAAAAACAAGACCACAAAATCCTAATAAAGTCCAAATTAATGATAATATATTAACTCCCCCGCATACACCCAACTACTATTTACAAATTTACGTCGTTTAATTGTGCAAATATTTACACGATTAACTAACTATTTGATTCTGGTTTAGAAAACAATGAAAGTCGAATGTTGCTTTTTCAGATTCATACTCTCTGATTCAAAATGTAACTAAACCATGACGTTTAAGAACTATTTGATCGATGCTGTCAACACCTTTTTCCTTTGATCTTGGTTGGTATTTATTTGTTTTAAAGGTCATACTCATACGTATATGGGATTTGTCAAATCCTAAAGTTTAGAAAAACTTTTCAATCAAATAAATGAATGTTAACGTAATTCTCTCGTATCACATACATTGTTATCATATGAAGTCTTTAAAACAAAGAAAGAATGAAAGATTTAAATATGGTTTATTGTGTTAACTTATGTATGTTATGCTTCGCTGTTCGAAAACGGTATTGCTTCTCATTTTTTAATATTTCATGGTCAGATGCAAATGATTTGATTTGATTGAATTTTTGTGTTTTAACGCCACTTTTAAGCACCGCTTTTGGACTATTTCGTGGCGGCCATTTTTTATTGGTGGAGGAAGCCGGAGTGCCCGGAGAAAACAACCGACCTTCGATAGGAAAACTGACAATCCTAGTCAATTCAGATTGGAGTCGAGTGCACCCGCACGAGCGGGGTTCGAACTCACAACCTCAGTGTTGACTGGCTAGTGATTACAGTAGTAACTACTTAGACCACTCGGCCACCGAGGCCCCAGATGCAAATGAAGTATTAGTCTTAATTATAATAAACAAAGATAAAAAAAAACGGTTAGACCTACCTAATTTTAAAACATTTCCAAATATATTTCGTGTCTCTACCATGCTGCAGTTCCACCGTCTATTTCTAAATTGATATTGACATTCTAGTATTGCATTATTAGCACCACTTTTTACACTGTCCATAATTTCAATATTTTTACGACAAATTTTTCTTTGTCTTTTAACAAGTCCTTTGAGTGAATCACATGTTTCTGGAATCTGTATAGTTGAAAGACTTGACATTTTGGCCAACGACCTGTAATAACAAAAATTAAAGAGTTTTACATTAAGACAAGAACAAAATAAAACCTCACAACAAGTTGAATTTAAAATAGGTTCAGATGCTGACTGCAAATTTCTGTTTCTGTTTTCACTCCTAAGACCTACCCGTATTTGTTCATACAAATCATAAGCGACTTGACTCGTCATTTTTATCGATCGATTGTTTGGTTGCTTAACGTTCAGTGGCAAGTATCGTAATTTTGAGCTATGATACCAGACCATAGTTATTAAGAAAATCAAACGTAAAATAATAGCGGGAAGCACTCAGGTCTGGAATATGAATGTCAACTCTTGTAATGAAATGAAATAATGACATGATCTTGGTGCATCTAGTACTAATCTTAAAGAAAGTCAATTGGGGAGTATATATTTAGGAATCTTTGACACTTTTTAGTGATAACCTGGATCCTGACACTAATTTCTGAAAGGGGAAGGTTTTAAAAAAACGAATTGACAGTAATCGTTTCATAAATAGACTTGTCGAATTGTATGTCGAATATTTGTAACCTGTTGACTCTTGAAATATTGACGTTTCGGGAGTCTTTGTGTTGCATTACAATTTGTAAGATCTATTTATAATTAATTGGTGTTGTCAATCAGATGATACTGTAAGCAAATTTCACGCCATTAATATCTGATAAATGAAGAACTTATTTCAAAAGTTTGCCAGATGTATGTTCAGCATTTGTTTACAGCTGTCAACTAGTAAATTTTAATGTGCTATTCGGACACCTCGACTCACATTAAACACGTAATAATGGCGGGATAAATTATGATTTATTGTCGTCTGCAAACAAATGTGCAATTTGCTGTTCTGACAAAATGGTTAGCTGTTTACAAATGTTATTCTAAACCATTAAATCATATAATAAGTTGTGATTTGTCTGTTAAAACATTTTTCTGCAAGGCTTATATAATTTCTGTTTGTCAATCACCGCTAACAAAATACGTTTTATGGCCGTGCAAATGTAGAAACATTATGTTGTCAGTTTTTATTCTCCATTACTCTATATCTTCAATAGAATATCACTGTTTTCCTATATCTTTCGTCAAGTGCTAGTATATAGAAATACTGGCTGTTGGACGTTAAAAATCAATATTAGTCAATCTTCAAATTGGAGGACAATAAATCAAAGAACGCGTGTCGATACTGACAAAAGCTAGAAAAAGATCATAATTCTAAAAACACTTTTTTTAAGCGACAAGTTTAACGAGATGACAAACAAGATGACAAACTTTAAAAAAAAGGGTGTTGATATTTTAAGAAAAACGATTTGTCAAGATTTCATTTCTTGAAGGTAAATAAAATAGCAAAATTTCAAGTGTCGAATTGAATGATACATAGTCTGCTGCCAAATCATTCCTTCTGGATATACAATTTGATTGAAAATATACAATTAACAAAATGTAAAATCTATTATCTGTTAAGTTTTTGTTTACTCGTTACTCAAATCTAATGACAGATTCTGACAAAGTTAATTATATTATTTATCAAAAGCCTTTGGTTATTATTGTAAAACATAATTCATATCATTTAATATCCTAAGGACAATGTGTTACACAAAATTTTCTAGTTTTAACACCATCACATCAAATATGCCGTCTTGTTCAGGTCAATGTACATTTGTTACTTTCATTTATTATAGTGAAGGAAATTTGGACGAAAACGGAATAATAAAGAGCACCAAGCTTTTGAACACAAACATTTCTAATGTCACTAAAGTCATAAAGTTTTTAAATACAAATATTTCAAATGTCACATATCCGCCTTTCCCAGGGCCTGTTAATTTTTTAATTTGCATTTGGAGCCTGGGACGCTGTCGCCATATTTTTATTAATAATTTGAAATTGTCACTTAAACATCATTTTTTTAATATCTAATTAAACTTATTAAATGTTTCTTCCAAAACTTCAAGTTATGACTGTCAAATTTCAAGGGTGTGTTAAAACTAAGTCAGGTCAGTCGACAGAATAAAAAGAACCCGTCAAGGAGATTTCACTACTATAATGCACATCTGTGTTAAAAAAAAGGTCTGTTTTTCCTGTATTTAATAAAAAGTGACACTAAGTTTTGATACAACGCCCTTGTTTAGCCGATTGTTTGTATTTTTCTAAATTCATCTCTACCTTTGTTATATTTTAATAAAGCAACAAAATTTGAAGTCTTTTCTGTGTTATCTGACTATCAATATCAAACAGCCCTATTGATAACGTGTTGAATTCAAGGGGGGATAATTCGATGAAATATCTTCATTTAAATAAGCCTGTCAAATTCATTTTACATTCATTGATTCATGCTCTCATTGATTAGTTTTCTATGTAAAGAAATTCTCCATATCATTAAAGGAGAATACTTCGATAATCAACAAACAACTATTTAAATCAAGAATCCACGACATTGATTGTAGTTCGCCGAAAAGAAGTGTTCTTTCGCTAAGTGCGGAATTAAAACTTTATTGGAAACCTTGTAGCTTTGTTTAATTAATGCTAAGTTCTACTTTAATTTTAATAAAAGCCCTTGGTTTATCTCCCTTATCAATAACCTCTCATTGTCAAAGCTATGATAAAATACAAAAAATATTTTGAAAGAATGGTACAATTTTACGGTGCACATTTCAACAAAAAGTTGATAAAGTAATGGGTTAATTTAAAATGATTAAAAAGACCTACATCTGTTTTGTTGATAGAGAAATGCATTCAAATCAGGTTAAAGTTTGATTTTCATTGTTAAAATAAATTTTAATTTGAAAATAAATCTTCAATCGGATATTTTCGAGATTTAAAGTGTGAGAAATTTTGAAAAACATATGTAAAGATACCGAGACAATTTCAATAATCAACCAACAGTGAAAACAAGCGAAACCGCTTGTAAATTAAGTACATTTTCATATTTATATTTAAACCTAACACATGTATCGAAATGAATATGCTAATTTCGACTCCTGTTGGTTAAAGAAGTTGAATCTCAACCATAGGAAGGTCTTAATTGAACTTTTCGACGATTTAGTTGGTTTTATTTTTTTCAAATTCAAAATATGAATGAATTACATAACATTCAAGCGATGGATATCTTTTATGTATTCTAAAGGAAGTCTCTGTCTCTGTCCTTCTTTTTCTCTCTCTCTCCTATCTCTCTATCTCGTTTTCTCTAGTAAAACTATCGGTTAAAATACGAACAATTTAATCACGTTAAAAGCTATATGGGGTACTTTTTATGTGTTATAAGGGCTTTAGTCTCTCTCTGTCCCTTCTCTCTCTCCCTCTATATCTCACTTTCTCTAGTAAGACTACCGGCGAGACTAACACATTTGTTAATAGCATTGTTTCATTAGTAGGTACATCAATTTAGTGGCCTTAGACAACCTGACCCCTGTGTACACTATCTGAATAAAAATATATCAAAGTCAACCGTTATTAATCAAGAAACTGATATCTACATCTCTTATCCTGGCTAGCTTTCGTTCTTAATAAATGATATTTGTTTTAGTAGATACGAATGTGTACCTGTATTTCTGTGGTATTTGTAAGCTTTAACCACCTCTTTATTCACAACTGAGCAAAACTTGTCAATAAAATCTAAGTTTGTGGCTTAAAGCTGTAGGGGTAGAGATTTCAATTTTAATGCCTGAAAGATTAAAGTATCAATTGTATGTTAGCTTGTATATAATCATTTCAGATAAGTTGAGGAATGCAGATATAAGCTAGTAAGTATTTAACACTTCTATGCTTAGAATTATTTGCGTTTCAGCTGATATCCAAAGCTGTATTTTTGTGAACGTTATGCTTTGAAATTGTTTACGCTCTAGCATAAGTAACCTGATGTAGATGCCCTCATAATTTGTAGTTTCTCTACTTTCTTGATGCTACCTAAAGTTACATAGTAATGTTTTGATATTTTTTATAGACCGCAGCTGCTGCTGTACCAGTAATTTTTTTTAAGAATTATGTAAAAAAAAAATACAAAAATATAATACTTACAGCCACTGTATTCCACCAACAAATGTTAAAAACTGTAACAGAATACAAAATCCTGTTGAAATAGTGTTCATATCCAAACGGGTCATCCTTTTAGCACTTTAAATAAGAATCACGTTTCTTCATGTGAAGTATTTTCTTCAAAATTTACACAAGTTCCATATAACAAAGCTTATTTCTATCTAAGTGTTTCTATGTAAAAGCCTGCAAGTTTCACATTTTCAGTTCGATAAAGTTGTGTGATTTATATAGTTTTCCATCGTAATATTTCGAATAAATACACTTATTCCGCTATTGAAGTTTTACTTCTTTTTCATCACATATTGTGTTTCAAGATTATATAACTAACACGTTTCCTGAAATAGCACGGACGATTTGACGAAAATAAATAACTATTTCACTGAGGATATCGTATACTATGAATGAAAGAAATAGTAAGGACATACTTTATCACTTAATCGTTTTGATTGCTCGTCCTCTTTACTCAATTGCTCCGCCCACTTGACAAAATATTGACCCGTGATTGGCTCAACTCAACCGGAAAACAATCACCGTCATGGTTGGCCGGTAATGGATGTCGACAAATTGAGTAAAAGTACAATTAAGAAGTCGATGTAAAAATGTAATTATACAATAGATTTACAATTAGATAAACAGTTTCCGTGAATATTTATAGAAATATGAATGAATGACAGATTTTTATCTCATAATTGTACACCAGAAACAATATCAATTATGGGAATTGCATGCCATTTTAAATTACGCCTGTTAAAATTTAGAATGAAACAACGTTATCATATCATAAACAACTATTTCATTTTTGTGATGGAGAAAAATCGACATTGTATATTTAGAAACACTTTCTTTAGTGTCCTTATTTATATTAATCCCTTTAAAATCGATCTCAACAAAGTTAGCATTCATTACAGTTATATTTGCATAGCAAATTTATATTGAATTTTTCATTCAGAGGCAAGCACGTTGTGTTAATATTCGCACATTCAAACAAAGTTATTTAAATATTCAATATGTTCAATGTGTTATATTTTACATCCATTTGATTTCTTAAAAACATCCAATTTAATTAATAGTGTATACAAAATATAGATTATGGACTTCGTCAATATCAACTGTCTATTCCTGGAGTCCAATCTGTTAAATACATTTGACCCGATGTCAAACACACAAAAAATTCTTCTATATGCGAAAATTATTAATTTCTAGGTGTCTGAAATAATGACATAAAATGTAAAATCACTATTTACACATCATATGATACACACTATAATTCTTTCCATTTCGTGTAAAGAATTAATATCCTAGATGTTGATAATAACAATTTGTGATAATAACATTTATGCAGCACCTCCCCATATATCAATAATGTATATCAAAATATGTATTTTCTCCTGATGTACATCAAAATGTACCGCAAATAAATTGATTCTATATTACTTGGAAGTAAGACTACGTTTTGTGATTTTCTTGATATTATCTGCAAAGTAAATAACCAATTTTTCTTTCAGATCACACGAATTCAACGTATGTTATTCTAATTATAATAACTATTAATATTATATGTTTTCTATTCCCCATCTGTAATCTTGATTGGCAAATATGAAAAAAATAAACTACAGTAGAAAATCGAGTGTTCGTCTAAGGAGGTTCGAAAGACGGCTAACGAGTTTTTTTTTTCTCTGTCTACGCCTAAAATTTGAACTTCTTTTGGTAACACGTGAAAACTACATACTGGCATTCGGAACTTTCATACAAAAAATGTTCTTGCTTTACTTATGTGTATCTATATATTTAAAGGATGAGTTCTGTCCACTTCTATAGCTATCACAAACCTTTTCATATAAGTATATAGTATACAAACTCGAAAGATTTCCCCAAAGCCTTATATGGTTAAAAACAATAACTGATTCTGATGATCCCCCGACGAAAACATATTTCAACTTACGACCGATTTCATAAAACAAGATTTTTTTATTGCTTCATTGAAAGTTTGTAATTATTTTCCGATTTGTCAAATTTTGACTACAGATAATCTGAGAGTTGTACAAATATGCAGTAAACTTTGTACAAAGGTTTTATTTAAACATCACGAGCCTGTTGAATTGATTATAAACAATATTGTGATCTGTGTTTACCTTCAAGAAAAAGGCTCGACGGTCATGTACCTTCTTATTTTATTTTTCAAATAATTCACGATTCGAACCGATTTTACCGCATAGTTATTTTTTTTATAGAAATGGGAGTTTTAACAACTTTTGGCTATGTTATAGATACTGGTCTTGTAAACAGTTTATGTCGATTTGGGTAGAATAAGTCTCTCAAACCAACGACGCATATGTGTGGCAATTTCTTTCAGTATTTTGTCTTGCTATAGTAAAGCAAAAGAAGAATGGTTCATCCTAACCAAGAATTCACTGGGGTACTAGTATATAGAACATGTCGACCCTTGACGTCTCCCATCTTTAAATAAAAGCATTACTTAAGTGTTGCATCCATTTGGATGTGCGGGATGTATAAATATGCAGCCACGTCCGATTAAAACGGAGACATAAAATCCTATGCTTTTTTGAGCGAGTGCCAAGCTCTCGGCAGGTAAAAGAACATTTGCGTTCAGTCTCTATCAATACTCTTATTTTCAGTTGAAGTCAAAAATTTCCCGTCCTTCATCCCGGTCGACCGACATTGCCGAACCTACCTGCTTTATCTTTTACTGTTACCTGTTACTTTATCTCGCAATGAATATTCATGAAATACTTGCCATTGGACGTTAAGCAAGCAACAATCAATCTAACAACCCCACTCGAAAGTAGACGCAAATCAGGCTAGCTTGGAAAGTCCTAGGCAATAAGTCAAGCAGCAGTCATTTAAAATATCAAATTTAAACATCCTTGCGGTTTCGTTTTAAAAATTCTCCGATGGCCCTCCGTGAACTATCTCAATTTTATTAAATACATTTTTTAGTAAACATAAAACGTCTCAGCGCGACATCTTTAAAAATAAATTTAAGTCTTCATAGAACTCCTGTTGAGTTGTCGTTCGTGATTAATAGCCCCGTACTACATAATGTGCAAATAAACTGTGTGATGTTTAGAAATCTCAACCATTTTAAATTTAATTTGAAATTATGAATTTTATGGAAAAACTTTTCTTTTGACTTCGCTTGGGTTCGTACTTTGAAATTCTCACCAGCTGCTGAAAGCCTTAGAGTTAATAGGTTATATTGTAAACTAAATTTAAGAATTTGTAAAATACTGAGACCAGAAAATAACCCAAGCATGCATGTAAATGTAAATTCGAACGAAATTTTTAAACGATTTTTTTATGTTGATATTTATGTTAATATATACTTAAAAAATATCACATCGAGGTATTATTAGAAAGAATAAACAACCTCTGAAAGATGGGTCATTGTCAAATTTCATTATTCAATTGGACAAATACGGAAATCTAAAGTGCAGTGGAAAGTATTTCAGACTTTATACTGGCTGTAAACCCCACACTTAACGTCTAGACAGTAACAAGAAACTCCAACCGGCATTTTACAGAAAAACATTGTTTTTACATTTAAGAAATGTCAAACAAATCATATTTAAAATGCTTGGTTTATCAAAGAAAATCCCTTGTTTGTACATGGAAGTGTGGTAGGGGTCAGAGAGATGTGTGCATTCAGAATTGGGATGTAAATTGTTATTATCATGCATTAATTAACGAAGTAAATATAATAAACGTTGTCCAAGAAATCTTTTGTTACTTAAAAACAAATTCCATCTTTAATCTACCGAACTGGATAATAAATTCTCAACTCTAACACTGGTCTCTCTCTATTATAAAACGTTTGTACTGAATAGTTTAGTTATGGTTGCAGGATCCTTTTTTCTTTTATTACTTTCTCTTTATTTTCAATATAAGAGGGTTTTTTTGGGGGGGGGACCAATAACAAAAACACCAAATTCTTCCCCTTTCTATTTTTAGATTACATCACTAATGCAAATCATTTACATTAGTTAGAAAATTCAAGAGTAAATATTTTCTTTCATATTTACTTATTTTCCCATGAAAGAAATGTTCATGTACATGTAAGTTACTAACAGGTGTAAATTAGTTAATTGGTTTAATTAAAGGTGAGAAAAAAACATTGATTAAAGAAACAAACAAAAGAACATATGTTGATTTCCTGTATTGTGTGATTGTTATTAAAATAACAATATTAATTAATACACAATTTAATTATCAGTACTCATGAATGGGTTAATCAAATTATAAAGGTTACCACGCTAATGCCTCTAGCTATCGTTATGGCCTCACTCCAGAAAGGGAAATCACAACTCAATTTCATTAGAAGAATACTCAAAATTTATTATCGGCGCATGCACCTTTCAAAACACAGATCAAAGAAAAATAAAGTACATTAGCTCAATAGAGCAATGCTCTTTTTTATTTTTTAAATTAGATGCTCGTATTCAGCTTGTTAAAGTAGTACTCAAAAATAAAAATAATGATCCATTTTGATATGCATGTCTTAATCCCTTAAGCTCATTTTTTTTAGAATTTGATGTTATTATTATATACGGTGCATGTATTAAATCACCTGTATAGGTGGAATTGATAACAAGGGGTGCGAAAGTCCATTAATACAAAAAACAAGAAATTTATTTTATCATTAATAGCGAATAATACTTATAGATGTCACCACCTTGATAGTATAGACAGCTACATGTAGCTTAAAATCTTTTAAAAAAAATTGAGCACTTTATAATTATATTTGAGTTCTTTGTTTAAACTATTCCAGCATAACTCGTACAAAGTTTTATGTGAATGATCAAATGCATGGTGCTTGGCTAAAGGGTCAACCAATTATTTTTTTTTAAAGGAAATTTTTTTGGTACTATATTTGTATATTTGTCAAAGCATTTGCAAATGTTCGCCACTTTTACTATGCAAAAGTTATGAGATTGACAAACGTTTATAATAAACAAATCATCAGAAACATTTGGAGCATGCTAAAGATTCGTATTCACATACTGAGGAGCTTTGGGTATTTAGTGTGTCACCTGAATCTGGGAACAGTATATCTAACAATATATATGTTCCTGCCTGAATTTAAAAAAAATAAAAAGACACGTAAAAAAAAACCTGATGTAAAATTTTAAAATCTAAATTATTCTTTATCCCAAATAACTGAAAACTTTTGCGTGTCAGTGAATGTCTAGATTTAACGGGATCTGCAAAGGAAATGATGCTTTCACGATAAAAATATCTAAAAATGGATACTGGTGATTTTCAAAATTAATATGGATTCACATTCATTTTTAACAAGACATTAAGTCAACTTAACATTTTAAACTTCTTAAATATGAATTTCAAATCAATTTTAGTTTTAATCCAGTGATTTTTGTATGGTTGTGTTTTCAGAGAGACTACTTAATTATCCCATGCGAATTAGCAAACATTAGTTATACACAAAAATCGCAATTTTGTACATAAAAATATATGTCAGAACAAGATGACACTAATGATTATATAAATAATTAAATAAATGATAATAATTATATTGTGTTGATACATTATCTAAAAATCAGTACATTTATTATTAAGCAGGGGCATAATCCAAAGTAATTGTTTCCACATGCTATGTAGACGAATTAATTAACCACGTCTAGATAGGTTCCGTTTCACCTTGTGACACAA